AATCTCAGCCCTTCTGTCGCAAACCACCAGAGGGCAGCTGGAAACGCACCACAGACAAGCACACAAAGTGAAAAGTTCCACTGCTGAGCATTCCCCTTGCCCAGCTACTGCACCACAGGAACTGAAAAGAGCCCAGCACACACTGCCCTCCAGGGGCCAGGAGCTGCCCTCCCATCCATGCCTCAGGGAAGCATTCTGCCAGGTGCCAGGAACCTGACAGAACACATTGCACAGGGCCCGTGTTCAGCTGGTCCTCAGCTCACAGGGCTCACATTAACAATTCAAGCCAAAAACCTCCCTGGCATAAGTTAGAAAATTTACTAACTTCCAGGGACCACTGCATTAGGGGGTGATAAGATAAATCTACCCCCTTGCTTACTCTTCCAAAGCTGAGCAGTAAGCAGAGGGTAGCAGCATCAGGATGGCTTGAAAACAAATACACAGACAGAAGTCCAGATGCAGATCAGGATTTCCCCTGCCCCTCATCCAAGCTCCTCCATCTCTTCTACAGTCAATTTATTTTGCATTCACACTTTTTTCCTAAGCCCATGATAAGCTGTATTTTCATCTCACCTTACTGTACTGAGGAATTGGTCAGTCAGCACCAGCTTCCAAAGGAAAAAGAGGGAGGAGCCCTGGACTTGCTGGTGTGTTTGTGGCAGGGCAGCAGGATCTCTAGCTAAGATAACCTTGTTGTTGAGTTCCAGCCTGAACCAAAGCTGCCAGGTTCTTGTGCAATCCTGGACAAGTCATTTAGGGCAGAAGTTCACAGAGAGCTCCAGCCAACTCCCAGATCATGGTTGCTTTATTCCAGGCTCAATTTCAGGAATTGATTCAGCCCATGAAAGGGACAGATCACCACTGGGACCAAGGTGACAAAACTAGCAGAAATTCACGAGTGCATTTCAGTAGCTAGAACTTGTTTATTTATAGTTTAATCAGTTCAGGATTATTCTTTGCAGTTTTTGAAGCAGTAATTTCCTCTGTCATGCTTGATCTTTTTAATGAGCAACAATACTGAGGAATATTCTTCAGAGGATGCAGAGTGTGGGCAGCCAGGGGAAGTAAAGTAAGACACCTTCCAAGCACAGCACCCCAGAAGCACCCCATGGAAAAGAGTTGGACAGGAAGAGTGAGGAGGCTGGTTAACACAAGACAAGGCAGCAGGAAGGCTGGGTCAGGTCAGTGGGACAATGCAACCACTCAGACTCTGGTTTTAAAAGGAGGCAGCTGCTGCCATCTGCAAATCAAGACCTAGATGGTGGTCAAGTACCAGAGGACACTGCTGTCTCTTGGAAACATGAGAAAATCATTGGTCTGTTTTTAGCTGCAGCAGCAGCAAGCAGCAGAGGCAACAGGAACAGATCCACCAAGCAAAACCAACCCAAAAGCAAAACTGAGATTTTGGGAGCCCCTCAAACTCCCTCCAGTCAGGCCCCAATGACCCAAATTCCATTCTCCACTGAATGGCAATACCCACTTACATTTCACCTAGTACAAATCTCAATACCACACTCCAAAACCACTCTAGGATGTGAAATAGAGCACATAAAGGACAGAAAACTCAGGAGATTTGTACATCAATCCAATGTAACACTAAAGGAGCTTCACAGCTGCATTCTAAAATCAAATCTCCTTTTTGAGAACCCCTTACGACAGGAAGGGCAGACACATAATCAAGGCAGAGACAGTGAAGCACAAAGGGAACCATCCCAGGTCAGATGAACTAACACAATCCTCAGAAAGCCTTCAAGGCCACAGTCAACAGCTAACTGGGGGTTGCATGACAGGTTTGTGCAATGCCATGAAACCAACTGCTCAGAAGCTTGGGTGACTCAGTTGTGTTGGGGAAGATGCCATTGCTCCTGAAAGCTCTTCTCTCAGATGTCCTATCAAATATGCCCATCTCTCCTTACTTGATACCCTCCCCATACTTTAATTAGGGCCACACTATGTATAATGCCCAGCACATTACTAGGAAGGAGAGAGAGGAGTGAAGAACACAGATGGCCAAAGAAGCTGCCTTCTGGGAAAGTTGCAGAGCTCAGCCTGTCTCACTGATCTCCCAAACACCTCAGGTAAAGATGACCCTCACTGCATCTGATGCTCAACAGTACCATTTCTTCCATGGCATAACAATTTCCCATTGCCCCACAGGAAAACAGGCAAGGGAGAGCAAGAAAAGGCTCATGACTCCAACATGATAGTAGAGCACAGGAAAGCTTGGAGAGAAAAAATGGTCACTAGTTTAATAAAATCTTAGCACCAGTCAGCATTACAGCAGCCATGCAGACTCTATGTCTGCACCAAAAGGTATAGAAACAGCAAGATTAGCTGAATCATCTTATATATAGTGGAAAATTTCCACATACCATCTAAATCAGCAAGGGAGGGACTAAGCTTAGGGTATGCTTAAAATTATCTTCTGCTCAGGAAAGCAACTGCTGCCCTGGAGTACTCTTCCCAACAGTAATCAACCTTGGAGTTCAGTGTCTTGGTTTGGATTTCAGGTGCAAGTATGTCCCCTACAAGAGGAAAGGTTTTTCTCCACATTTAACTACTTCTGTATTTAGTCCTCGATTTCCATGTGTCAACTCCACTGACAACAGCACAGTGGGAAAACAAACTGATTCATGCTGTTTGTCACCACAGCACACGGGAGTTTACCTGACACAGTTGTAGTGGTCACACTGTGGGCATGCTCCCACCTACTCCCTAACCCTCTACAGCAGATTTGCTCTCCTACCTTGCACTCTTTTTGGTATCAGCTTGACCCTGAAAAACAGGGTCCGTTAGTTCATCAAGAAAATATTGTGCAAGATGTCAAATTTCCATGCAATGAATGTAACTGTCTCCTTGTACAGGAGCTGATGGAACTGATGCGAAGGACGTGTGGGAACAGACAGCCCAGACAGAGAAAAGAGATGATTCCTGCTTCAGAGACAACCACCAGCTGATCAAGTGCCACTTGTTTTGAGTAGCCAACAGAAGCAAGAACCTGATTAATATTAGGAACTAGTAGCTCACAATGAGAGCCAACCAAAACCCTCAAATCACAAACTTAATCCTTGTGCAGGAAGAAGTGGCTGTTTAGTAAAAGACTTATACAAATAACCCAAAAAATTTAATAAGAAATTGGAGTGTCCCAGCCAATAAAACACAAAGCTGCTCTTCAGCCTCCATGTAACCCTCAGCCCAAGCTTGATACAATTCTCAGGCATCTTCCATCAGAGATGTTTGGCCCTTTACACCGGACCCAATCAGCACATGTAGGGCCTAACTGTACAGGACGTGGAGCTACCAAGTCTAGTGGAAGGTGTCCCTGCCCATGGGAGGGGGTGGAACGAGATGGGCTTTCAAGTCCCTTCCAACCCAAACCAGTTTGGGATTCTGAAATTTTATGCAGCAGCTGGTTAAGCAGCCAGTCCAAACCTCATGTATTATTTGTACACATGAGCTGTTGCAGGTACCTCAGTAGCCCTCACAGGTGAGAGGACAAGAGCCATTAGCCACAAGTATATCTGCAGAAGCAAATCCTCTGTCAGTAACATGAGGAAATCCCAGATCACACTACAGACTGGTTTGCCATTCTAGGTCGAAAAAAGTGCCACATATTCCCACCTGCCTCCAAGCCCTGTGCCCTCAAACCCACTAGCTGAAAGTGGCAGTTCCAGAAGGGGAAGCAAGTGGTGGATTTGCCTGCTTTTGACAGCTTTTCATGCTTTCATACGGGAAGGAAGACAGTCACCACAGAGCTCATTCGAGAACCTGGCAAGAGAGAGCACATCTCACACACCTAGCCTCAGACAAATCTCTCCACCACACTCCAGAAAAAAAACAGGCATAGTGTGAAACAGCATGAGAGCTGTTTGAGCTTTTTAACCAGTCATAGGCCTGGGACAGTTATATTCTAGCAGATCCAGGGAGCTATCAGACTTCTGCAAAGCTAATGAACACTAGGAAGAAGGAAACAGCACCACTCCTTGAAAAGTATGTTTTTCCATCTAGCACTTCCTGAATTCCCTCCAGAGCCATGTTTAACCTTGTGGCCTTGATTCAACAGAATAGACTTTATTGCTTGGCCAAAAGGACTGGCACAGATCACTGCCATGAAGATGTATGCAGAGGGACCACTTAAGAACATATCCAAGACAGAAAAGGCTTGACAGAGTAACCCTGAAGAAGTCATAAGGGTTCTCCCTCCACTCCAAAGGCAGTTTCCTGCAGGCAATCCCTTGGTTTTGCTGCTGGCTTTAGACATAGGAATTAGGATTAGCTGTTACAAGGTGAAGAAGCTGTAAGAACGGCCACCAACACATACCAGCATAACTTTCTCCAGGAAGCCCAGAGTTCCAGCCAAATCTCCCCATGGAAGGCAGCAATTAAAACTGAATTGCAAAGTTGAACAGCAGCACTAATCACTATGAAAAATGAAAAACCACACATTTTACACTAAGATTCAGGATTAGAGTACCCAAAAATCAGCTTCTTAAAAGGAAAGTGAGGTTCTTTCTAAAGTGATTTAATAATAAATACAAGTTATTATCAACAGTGTTAAGACTTTGCTATTCTTCTCAAGCATGAACAAAAAGGTGAGATGAAGTGTGTGCAGTTTTGGGATAGGTATGACATCATTTGTCCCTTTAGGCCTTCTGCTATCTGTGCATGAGCAGGGAACAACAGGAAATTTCTTGACAGAAGAGATTCAGGAACCCAATAAGCCCCAAAGCCAGCTTTTACTATTTGGGAGCATGCACACTGAGTATTTCTTTGTTTAAGAACTACCGAACCCTCTTCTTCACAGGGTCTGACAGGAAAGATGCTGCAATAAAGATTAGAGCGATTTTGACAGGACTGAGGCCAGAAGCCGACTGACAAGGATTAAACATTAAGGAAAGGCTAGCTCACAAGGAGAAAAGGGGGGGCTCACAAGGGATAAAAGCCATATTTACAAGTCCTTCACACTCAGAAGAAAGGCAAAGGAAATAACTACCCTCAGGCAGGCTTGTGAAGATACTTTAATACATCTGAAAAGAATGCATATACAAAGAACTTAGACATGAAAAAGCATTGGTTCAACACTAATGAGTCTACAAGAAATTTAAATTGTGGAAGATGGAGAAGATTCCCTAAGTCTTAAATTTTTTTGAATTTGCAAACCAAAATATATTTTTGGTAAAATCCTTATGATACTCCAGATGGTCTATGTAGAGACACTGCACATGATCCTTAGGGGTTGGAGCCCCTCTTACAGGTCCAAGGTTACTCATGAGCAAAATGCAGAAAAAGGGGTTCCCTCAACTGGTCCCAATATGGTGTCACACCAAACACCAGAAGCCCCTCCCTGCACTTCTTTTCAACTGACACAGGTCTATCTTTCCACCTCTCCCCAAAGGATGCCAAGCCATCCAGCAAGAGATGCACCATCAGAGCCAGCTCCAAAACCCATTGTAGCACATCCCAGGTCCCTTTAGGGTGTCCAAGCAGCCGTGTATGTGCTGGTCATTGTAAGCATTTCTCTAATAATTAAGGATTGCCAGAAGGTAGATTCAATAAAAGCCAACTGACCCAGCTAGGCATACTTCCAAAGGGGCAGTTATTTTTTCAGCACAAGCCAAAAGAATGTGATGGCAAAGATTAAGGAAGAGACCGGCAAGTTAGTCTCAAGTCTGATGGTGCATCCAGAGAAAATCATTCTCCTGTTCCTAAGGCTTCGTAACTTAGAGGATGGGGTATAAATTTATTACCTGCACAGTTAAAAAGCCAGGGCAAAAAGATAAAAGGCAACTTCAGAGAAGATGTATTTTCTACAATCCTTCTTAGAGGAGCACCAGCTTGGGACATTTTGCTTTCCTGACTAAAGTCTGCTCATACCCAGGCTGCTGGCTGGCTGCAGAACAGCCCTACAAGGTCTAGAAACCAGAACCAAGTCTTGCCGCACCAGCGTAAGGGGCAAGACTTCAGTTAAACAGCCTAAAATTAGTCTGTTATAGAAAAAGTCATTGAGCATGCCTTGATGTTAAACAAAAAAAATTAGAAACAATAAACAAAATAAAAAAAACTAGTAAAGATCAGTGTCTTCTGATAATACATAATTACTCAAAATTAACTAGTTTAAGTGAATTGAGGGGGCACTGGGGAATAAACACTAACATTTTCATCTCACACAGGGATCGTGTGGGGGAGATGGGAGTGCAGGGCATTTATCATTATTGCAAAAACAAATTTTAAAATTTTATCTTTAGTTTGATTTTAACATTGCTTTTAGTATGACATCAAACACCAGCTTTGCAGAAGGGGCTGTGGAGGGACGTTCATAGCAGCACACACCTGCGAGTCTTCTTCGGCTCCGGGGGCTCCAGGGCAGCCAATATCGCTTCGTCAAATACATTCTTTAGGCCTTTCTGAAAAGGGGCAAAGAGAGAAAGGGGCAGTTTCATTTTTGATTTTTCACACAAACAAAACCCCAGAAAGCCAAGTGGCAGCCACACCCCTTAAGGACACATGGAGATTTTCCATCCCTAAAGCTTGCCTGCCCAGCGAAGCTCCGTACAGCTTCTCAGCAGAGCATCTCATTTTCAGAACAAGAAAACTAATCCTCAGAGAACAGAGCAGTGTGCTTCACAAGTAGCAAAACACGTGCACCAAAGTAATTTCCTTAAGGCAACTTTTACCACTAACTGGCTACTCATATTTCATGTGCTAGTAACAAAGTAGAAAGTGCTGCATTCAGATGGAAGAACTTAACCTGGAGCACACCTGTGACAACACACCCCCGTGTGTCAGTGGAGGAGAGACAAGGTAAGTATGCAATTATAACCTTGTCCAGTATATGCTCTGGTCAGGCATCCAGCCCTAAACACCCCAGGGTTAGAAGTAGCCAGGCAGAGCCCAGAAAGCCGCCATGGTAACAGAGAAGTCGAGCTGGGAGGAGTACAGAGGGGTATCATACACTCTGTTAAGGATTAAACTGGAGCCAGGAAATGCAACTTGAATAAAGTTTCATCAGTCATTTATACAAACAACTGCAATTTTTAATTTCAAAATTTAAAGACAAGCTACAATCGATGTTTTTTCCTTAAAACAATAAAAATCAGAAGCACAATAGTAAGCAGCAGCTTTACATCTTACAGTAACAGGCTTTAAGGATCTATTATTGAAATGAAGAGCTCTACCATGTTAATGAAAGCAATAATTTTAACAGTTCATAAAGCAGTAGCAAGTACATCGATATTTCCTTCCCCCCAAGGACTGACAGATACTCCACTAAAGCACAGACAGCCAAAGCAACAGCAAACATCTCACTGCACACAGGAGAACCAGAAAACCCTTCACTTTACATCATCATTTGCAGATCACCAGTTCAGGTACTTTTGTCATGCAAATACAGTTAAGAGTCACAAGTAGAAATGGAAAACACACCCATTGTTTCTTCCAGTTGGATTCAGGAAGATGAAACATCATCTCTCATTTTTTTGGTCATTCTTTAAACAACAATGTAACCAAATCCTTTCCCCCAACGGCCTGAATTATAAAGCTAGCCACACCTGGCAACCCAAGCAGCAGGGAGTTAAGCGAGTCCAGTTCACGTTCCACAGTCACAATGTTTTACTAAAGATCTCAAGTACTGTTTTCAGTCCAAGAGCTAATACAGAGGTCGCTCTAAGATGGCAAGCAGGCACAACAGCTTTCAATCAAGGTGGTTTGATTCATTTTTAACCGGGTTTCTACAGTAGTGGGACAGAGGAAGCAGCAGCAAGAGGGGAAGAAGAAAGTTTAGAATATACAGCACTTCCTTTTGGGCTGAGTTTCCGGAGGCTCGAGGGCAGCTAGGATAGCCTCATCAAACACATTCTTCAGACCTCTCTACAAGACAGAGGGGAGGAGAAAAAACAGCAGCCAGGTTAGAGGATTAGAGAAAAACAAGCAGATACAAAGAGCATTCAGGAGCAGGCTGAATTCACAGAGGCAGTAAACAGATTTACTTTGCAAAAAAACAAAGTAGATCCCAGGAGAAAATCTCATTTAGATAACCCAGAAGTCAATGACAGAGACAGAACATGTGACAGGCCAAGTCGGACAAAATCAACACTCAGAAGGGCAGAGGCACAAACACAGCAAGAACATGGGGGAGGGGGCCACACAAATGGTGACGGTTTCCGCTCCACTGCTGTACTACACTGAGGGAGTTTACAGAGGAATAAATCAAGCACACAGCAGCTTGTCCCAGCAGGGGGACCCAAAAGGTCAGTCAAACCTTTTGTTGTCACCCACTGTGGATAAGTGAACACCTCGGATGCACAGAGTATTGCTCCCAACTCCCCAGGTCCAGAGCAAAGGCTCCAAACAACTCCTCTGCTTTGTGAATTCAGCCCCTGAATAACTGAAGGTCTCCAAATGGCTGGGAACACACATTCTGGGATGGAAGCAGGACCACCCTGGTAAGCCATCATCACTGGCAGTCACTAACTCTCAAGTCTTTAGAAGTGATGCAATACCTTACCAGTGCTACTCTGACACTGGGAGCCAGCATGGAAATGGTGCATTTCAGTTATTCAGTTTAGTTGCCAAAGCAAGTGTAACCACAGAAAGACAGGAACAGCTTTATGAGTGCAACAATTGGGATCCAACACCAGAAAAGCAGTCACAGAGCTGCAGGACTCTGCAGGGGTTACACTGGAGCACAAAGTATGCGCTGCATTTGCTGTAAGCACAACAGGAACAGTGCAGGGCGTTACCACTCCCTCCCAAGTCTGCCAGGTTACACACCACACCAGAAGTGAAACCTGGCTCAGTTTAGACTAACTGGACTCGCCTAAATCTACTGTCATGAGCGCACCCTTCAAAAATTCAGAATTGCTTTATGATAGCTGAAAGCAAACAGAAAAGCTTCAATTACATCCTGTAAACAACTGCAATCTGTGCAAAAATTAATTTGTTTTCAGATCATTCAAATGTAACTGTTTTTTCCCTTAATAGGTTATACTGGATATATCCCTTTTAGAAGGTCTTTAATCTTATTTTACTGAAGCACATACATGGGAGACCTCTAAGGCAGTGCCATCTGGAAGCATTTAAGGCCATCACATAACATGCAAGATTATACTTGAAAGAACAATAGTTTAAGGAAACTACAATGTACATTCTGTACATCCTCCCCAGCAATTTTTCTTTTTCTTTGAGTGAGTTGCAACTCAGGCTCACAAAAGAGCTAAAGACTTCCGATATATAATGCCTCTGAAGTCTAAATAGCAATTAAATTTAATTTCTCTGTGCGAAAAAGGCTGCAGCATAAAATCAATTATGTACTGTTAAACAGATTAAGAACCCAGGCAGGGCAAGAGTCAAGAAAACAATTTTACTTAAATTCTCCTATTCAGGGATTCCTCTTATTTTTGTATCGCCTGCAAGAAATTTGTTCAGCAGTGCAGAATTTGGGATTTGTTTTGAAGGACCTAGCAAAAAAGGGAAGAGGATAAAAAAAAGGACTGGGACAAAATTGTTGTGAAAATGGACCAGGGTTAAAAGCCTGGATGACCATGAGTAACAACATGAAGGGAAGAAATTGTCTTCAATACCACAGACACACAGGCCTGTTAAAATCATGACTTTTGTGTTACACTGGAAACAGGCTGAGATCAGGCTTCCTCCGTTTATGGACAGCTTAAAGCACTTTATATATCTGTGTCAAAACTGCAACCCACCATCAGGAGAAAAAGAAACCAAATTCAGCATTCTCTCTGGTGTGAGGTACTAGGACTGAGCTTCAGAAAGTGCAGACATCCGTACCCAAGAGTAACAGAAGTAACAATCGCTGTAGTTGCAATCTGTCAGTCACCCTTTCCTAACAGCAAAGCCTCACCTACCTGTCACAGTAGCACTGGGTGATTTTGTAAAGAAAGGCTTGAGACAGACACTGAAAATGCCTTCATCACAAAAAGGGATTCCACAATCTGAGGAAAGGGGGATAGAACTGGCTCTCCAATAGAGCAGTTATCCAAACTTGGGGAGAAGATACTCTCTTTACAGAAAAAACTCAGCCTCTCATGACTCACATAGTACAAAAATAAATAATGCCAGCTCCATGATTCTATGAGTATTAGCTACTGTGGTGTCAAAGTAATTTGTAAATTAGTTGGGAAGAAAAAAAACCACCCTGCACTGCTGAAGTGAACCGCACAGACAGCATCCAAGCCAAAGAGAGATTGAACACCCAGTTGAGTCTCACTTCAGCTAAAATCAGCTACTACAGCATCACCTTGCAGGTAGGAAAATAACCCTCCAGGCCAGGGAAGCTGCCTTCTGTGTTCAGCAGGCTGCCAGTGAGATCACTGCAGAAGCTCCACACAACCCTGTGCAGATCAGTTACAATGCTGTTTCACCAGCTACTGATGACAGACCCAGGAAAAAAGTGGTGAGTCAACAACAAAGGAAGGGAGAAAAATGGAGCAGATGCAAACCAACTAGTTGTCCAGGTGAGAAGGCTTCTGAATCCTCCTCCCAGTTCACTCCTGACCACTAAAATCATCACTTGGGATACAAGCACTAACGCTCTGGAAGAAAATTCAGGCTGAGCTTCCAAGTGCATAAAGTTGCTCACTGCAACAGATACAGATTAGTCTATCGGGAAATAGAAAGAATGGATAAACACCACCATTTTTTTGTCATATCAACTCTTGCTGTAGTAATTCTAAGTGATTCCATGCAATTTGAGCAGACACAAGCTCAAGTCCAAAGCAAGTCCAAAGCTACAGAGGAAAGGGTCTCAGAGAGCAATACAGGACAAAGGCCCTGGCAGGTATTTACCCAATTAGCAGGTTCTACAACCTAGTCAGCAGCAGCATTCAGGCTGTGCCAGACACCATCTAAAACAGTATTTTGGGGCTGAACAGACCCAAGAAAAACTACAGCTCAAGCATGAACAGCCCTCAGTTTGCCTGCGGGCAGTTAGGAAGCATGGCCAAGACCACCTTTTGATCAGGGATTCCCAGGATGAACAGTAGCATGCCTCACCACATCATCTCCAGTGCCAGTGTCCTGCACAACTCCAGCAAAGCCAATTCCTTCACAGGAGACACCCAGGCAAATCTTTGTTACAAAAAAAGACTGAGGATTTTAAATGGAAGAGTAAACATGCAATCTGGAAAAAAGGGGCAAGATAAGTAGAACTTATCTTTGGATTTGTGAAGTTTGGTAATAGCTTTGTGCTCAAGGAGATCAATGAACAACATAACTGGAAAGAGTAAGGAGCTTGATACTGTGCACCCCTCGTTCCATGCACATCAGAGATGAACAAATTCTTTACAGACCAGCATTAAGGAAGCTGTTCAAAGTGTTATAGTCAATTCTGCAAGAGTAAGAACCTAAGATTAAGTTCTCAGAGCATCCAAAGCCAAGCCAACAGGTCAGCTAGCCAGAAAATGGCTCCCACTCTAGTATTCCTAACTGAAAGGGAAAAGATAATTGAGTTTCTTGCTCTCAAATCAGCTACTTTAGTTGGCATTTGACTCACATTCACAAGTTATAAACATGATGTAAGAACTGTCTTAAGAACTATTTAACTGTTACTTTCTGTTTTAACAGAACTTCTATCTGACGGAAGGACATAGGAAAGAGCTCACCACCAGCTGCACAGGAAGAGAAGGCAGCTATCAACTATGAAGGTTTCCAGCCTTCAAAGTACCAGCATTAACTTTAACGAGAGGCATTTTTTTCCTTTGCCTGCTTGTTTCAGCAGTGACGTGCACTCTGTGTCCCAACCCAATTATTGTCCATAATGTACCTTCTAAGTTATCAACGGTTATTTTTCTCCAGCACAGAAGCAAACACAGTAAGCACACCCTCCTTCATCACCCACATTAGGCCTAAACCACACAGGCTGATTTTCTTTGTACCACTGCCAACTCTCTGTGCCTCAGAACAACATGACAAAGAGAAAGCTACACTGTAAATAGCAGAAACAGAGCTTACACCCCTTCACATCCACACTGAGCTGTTTTTCCCTGGAACTGAAAAAAGTATGGAATAAAAGCAAGCAAAAATGGTCAAAGACCAACCCTTACCTGCGTAAGTGCAGAGCATTCCACGTATTTTACAGCCTTCAGGTCCCGGGCCAGCTTTTCAGCAGTCTCTGGAGTTATAGGCTTCTGCTTGTTCTTGGCAAGTTTCTCAATTGTTGAGGGATCATCTCTTAAATCAATCTGGGTCCCAACAAGCAGAAAAGGAGTCTTTGGACAGTGGTGAGTAATTTCAGGTACCCACTAAAGACAGAAGAGACACAGCATTTGTTACTAACTACCTAAGATAACTCCTGACATACTTCAGCAGCTCTGTTTTCATGCAGAGTTCAACCAACCTTTTCTTTCACATTTTCAAATGAAGAAGGAGAGACCACTGAGAAACAGACCAGAAATACATCTGTCTGTGGATAGCTGAGGGGTCGTAATCTATCGTAGTCTTCCTGACCTAGAGAGGAGGAAATTAACACTGTATTAGACCCAGACGACAAAATCCTGCCCTTTACAGGGAGTCAGAATGCACATTTCATCACAATAACATGGCTGTGATTAATCCTAACTCTTCAGCAAATAGCCAAGCACATAGTGAACTCAAACATTTGAAAAATCTATGTTTCAAATCCAGAATTCATTCAGTTGCTATGTGAGCTGCTGAAAGTCACAGGAAAGCTGGGAAGCCTCCAATACATTTTGAGATCAAACACCCTCAGACTGCATAACACTCTCTTCAGTTATGAAGGACAGTTGCAGAACGTCGCTCCAGTTATAGGTGACCATTCATTACAAGTATTATGCCATCAAATTTCATTACCCTGAAAAAAATCCCCTCCTCTTAAGAAGGGAGAAAAAAATAGTTTTGTTTTGACTTATGCTGTGACTCACTGAAGTGTCTCCAGGCACGAGGAGGAGAATGTGGCTGGTACACATGACTGCGACCAGGCCACCCAGCAGTATTCCCCTAAAACCTCACCGAAGTCCCAGCACGGGCTGTGCTTTGGAAGAAGCCAGCCTCTGCCCTTTGAGTCCCTATGTGCACACAGTCTCTGCAAGGCACCACTAGCACTGATCCACCAGCCTGACTGTCAAATTTCATTCTTAAACCTCCTCCTGCCCAATTCAGCAGCACTACTTTTAGAAACCCAATTTGGCCATGAAGCTGCTGCACTTACTGGCAACGAAATCCAAAACACTTGTTTAAGATGTCTCAGATTCCAACTAATGCTGTCTCAGTCATCATACAGGACAAAGACCTACAAGATCTTGAAGGAGCCAACACAGCAGCTGGGACACCTCAATGGAGAAGACCTACAGTTTGAAGATGGAAACCTAGACATCCCGTCCCGTCTACTGTGCTTGGCTGGACAGAGAGGAGTGAGCACTGACCAGAATCATAGTCTCAGTATGGTTTGGGGTGTAAAGAATCTTGAAGCTCATCTCATTCCAACTACCTGCCATGGGCAGGGACACGTTCCACTAGGATCAGGTTGCTCTAAGCCCCAGTCAATCTGGCCTTGGACGCTTCCAGGGATCCAGGGGCAGCCACAGCTTCTCTGGGCAACCTGTGCCATGGCCTCATCATCCTCACAGGGAAGAATTTCCTCCTAGCATCTAATCTAAATCTAAAATAACATGTTGCAATTAACAGACTACTCCAAAAGTCTATCTTCCAAGTACAAGCTCAAAACAAAGACTTGGGTTTTAATCTGAGAACCAGCAATAGGGGCTTCATACATTGCTAAATTTTGTCACCTGTGCTGGCTGGTATTTAGAAAAAGCAGGCAACCATTAAGAACGAATACTTTCCCCTCAGCAGTCCTGCTCTGGAAAGAAAGCCTTTACATTCACAAGTGCACAGAGTCACTTACATGCATTAAAGTAATTTGGTAACTTCTCAAAATTACTAGCTGGATCACTGCTCATGTTGATAACAGAAAATGTGCGTAACTACACACACAACACTTCTCAGAGGTCTGAACCCTCAGCCGGAAAACAGGCAGAGAAGGACCAACACAATCACCCACCCACACAGGGACCATGCAATGCTAGAACTGCTGTAGAACCACCAAGATCCCTACAGCAGACCACACAACATACATCAGGAAAGAGACTCTCTTTTCCACCTAACTCCTCATCCATGAACTAGGGAGCTTACAGTAATGGGAACACAAATCACATTTTGGAGGAGAACATGAAGAGCTAAGTGAAGCCATGCTGAAGAATACGGTCAGTACAGGCAGCTCAAGGTACAGATGTAGTGCCAGCAGCAGGTGAGCTCTGGGTGTCCAGGAGCTCCAGAGGAGCTGGCACTGACCCTCTGCACAATGAAGGGCACAGGGACCTGTGGCACCGCCAGCTGATGCACATTCAGAGATACAGCAGGAGCCAAGGACTCAGCTGGAAGCTCCCAGACTTTCAAACACATGCTGTGAGGGATATAAAAGCCCACAGTTTGCTTTGTTCAGTGTCTCTTCCCACAGGCACTAGCTCAAGCTGTTATTTTGGTTTTGCACCACAATTAAATTTTAAGGCTTTGGATGCCTGAGACATCTATGGGAAACCTGGGGCTGAGGCAGTAAGGAGACCTTGTCTGACTCTGGAGTGTGGTGCACACTGAGAATCAAGCAAGGCCCCACTGTGTCACTGGAGTTGCCACTATGAACAGGCTTCAGTCCCAGCTCAGGTGGTGAAGTGTGACCAGATGGCCAAAAAGGAAAGTTTCTTCAACAGCTATAGGGTTCAACTGGAAACCTAAGATTGTTTCATTAATCATATTAGACACTAATGCTGCATGTAAGAACACAGCTGGAAACAGATTAAATTATATCAGACAATTTTAGATGAATGCTTAAGGACTAAGCTCTCCAGAAGGGCTCTTTTGAAGAAGAGTTTACAAAACCAGTTGCTGCCACATCACTTCAGTATTATTAGGAGGTAGGGACGAGCATCCAGCAGCTGAACCAGTTTCTACCATTTCTTTTCACACATGCAAAGCCATGTTTAGCTGTTTCATCACTGCACATTTCTCCAACCTAAAACTGAGATGCAGCTTGAACAAGAGGCCAGCAAATTTTTAATTTTTAAAAGCAAGCAGTGAGAGGGCTTATGAAATCCACACCCTGACTTCATCCACATTAAGGATGCAGAGACATACAACATATTTAAGAGGTTCTAATATTAGTCATTCTGTCTTGACAGAATCAAGAGAGATTTTCCCCTTCTATTAAAAGAAAATCTCAACAAAAAAACCCCAACTGTATGTCTTCATGTTCAACATCACCTCAGGTAAATCTTGCTCAAGTACAATGACACAAGCGCTTGGTTTCTTACCTGCAGTATCGAAGAGGCCAAGGGTGTAAGGCTCTCCTCCAATCATCACTGTTACAGCATAGTTATCGAAAACCTGGCAAGAAAAGAGACACATGTTTCAAGGAGACATGATTCTCAAACCATCATCCTACCCACCTTGTCAGAGCACATCTGATTTCAATAAGAGACACTTCTAGGGAAAAACAGAACCATCAGGCTTACAGTGCTATTACAACTAATACTATTAACAGAACAATTCCACATGTAATAGTGATACTCCAACTGTTTCCACAACATAGTCAAGCAAAGGCATATAAGGTACACCACTGAATAACACACAGTAAAAATCACTGAGCAAAACACCTACAACAGTGTTTGCCTGTTACTGCAAGGAGATTTCCCACGCTGCCACAGAAATTCCAAACTTCAACCTTAGTCTTAGACACAGTAAACACACCCTCACAAGGACAGAACAGGTAAAGTCAGCCCTGCCATTCAAGGGCATGCAGTGATGGGACTGTATCTCACAGTACCTAAATCCTCTGAAGTCCATATTTCTGAGTATCTAGGGAACTCTATAATAGAGTCCATCCTTTCAAGAGAGATTTATCCTCCATCTTTGAAGGAAGCAGTAACTGGTAAAAAATCAATCTGTGTCAAATCCAATCTAAAAGGAGAGTCAGGCTCCAGATACCAAGCTCTACTGCCTCTGCAACAGCACCTGGTACAATAGTACTGCCCTCCAGGACGTTGCACAGATTAAAACCAGCCCTACCCACTAAGTGTTTCACCCACTAAGTGGCTCACAGTACAACTGAGCATAAGGGCCTACACAAAAGCTCAACTCCTACACCCACCCACTCAGGAGAGCACTGTCTGAGGTCAGCATCCTTCATTTCAATAATGATGTTATCTTCAGAACCACAACAGACAATACTGCAGAAACAACCTATGGCAAAAAGATCCTCCTCACTGCAAAAAAACCCCAAAAACCCACCACCTGCGCCTGCAAGTTGCTGCATGGTCACTTGAGGCCAGTCAGGATCTCCAAAGAATGATGAGGAAATTCTGCTTCCTCACAGAACTGCAGCCTAAGCAGCTCTCACAGGTGAAGTAAATCCCAACAGGAAAGATATCAGTAGCCACCTCAAAGGCTTTTCATGGAAGTGAGCAGGGAGGGATGTGGAAAACAAGTAGTCACATGCATCTGTTGTTAATAACAGTAAGAGCTTGGAAAAAGAAAAAAAACAACAAAAATTGAAGAGCAGTGAGACCGCACTTCAAAGCTGTACTCCCCAGAGTTCAAATGTCTCCTTCCCACCTGACCGCCCTGGATAAAGACAGACCTAACACTATCCTATTTTTTTCAGCTTTTCAAAACTTACAATGACTGAGAAAGTAACTATGGCCACTGCACACTGCATATCCCCAGAACATCACCCAGAAGCAGAAATCCACTTCTCACACTATTTTGAATTAGCACATTCAAGATTTTAAAGCACTGCAAGAGACATCACTATTCGTCCCCACTACCTGCAACTCAATCCATCAAACACTGCACTGGGTTTGCTTTACTGAACACACAAGGGTCTAGCTCCAAATCACACCTTGAGGTTGAGGGATGGTTGAAAGCATTTTCACAGGGCACATTCAACATCCCATGACTGTACTGCTTTAAGACCCCAAAAGACCTATCAGGATGAGGACTCCTCTGTTCCTAGGAACAGAATAAGGAGCCAGAGTGATGAAGGTCAGAGCATTTCCTCTTCCACATGTCAGAAGATGGTCGGCAGCTCAATCCCCCAGCAATATCCCCCCATTTTTGTTCAGCTACCACCTGTAGCTGCCCTTTCAGGGCAATTAGCATGTCTCCTTTCTCATCTTGTTTTTTGTTTTTAAAGCTCCCTATCTGCAAAATGGGATTTTTTAATTTCAATTTTTGTGTTAAGGTACAGTTTCTATTGAAATGTTTGGCGTAGAGCCCTAAGAAGGCCAGGGTTATGAGGCTGGCCTTCACAGAAACCAGGCAACTATAGCCTCATAGTACAATTCACGGACAATTTCATCCTCAGTTGTGCCAAAATGGCTAAAAAACAGAGCCCAAAGCAGTTCCTGCCAATGCCAGGCAGCCCACTGCAGCAACTGGCATGAGCTCTCACTTGAGCTGTCACAACCCAAACATTGCCAGTGCCTTTCCAGTGACGTGCCCTTCACTGCCTTGATTTTTGAGAACGGCAACAAAATCAAAAACATACAGGTAACAAACTACGTGCAGTACCACCATGAAACCCATCTTCCACTGGGAAACATCTTTCATGAAGCGAAAGGATTGCAAAACACAGCACCAACTGAACAGAACTATCTATTGAACTGAAATGGTGTGCTCTCCATCCATACTGTGGCCAGGCTACTGCACAAGAACAGAAGTATCTGTTCTACTTCTCAGTCCATTTATTACTAGAAGCATTAGCTGAAATATCAGAGGTGACACACCAGTTTCCAGAGTCTGAAGTATGCCTCTAGGCTGTTCACAGAATTAGGAATGGGCCTCTGATATCTCCAGAACAGCGAATTCCTCAAGCCATGAAGTTCAGAGGTAAATAGCATTTTGGAAACATGAGGCAGATTTAAAAGGCACTATAGAGAAGCCTTAGCACACCTTGAACACGCTTCACTGGCAACTAACTTTTTGGCATGTTTTCCACATTCCTTTCTAGCAGAGATTTACAGCTAGTACTACTGTGTGCAGGACAGCATACCAACCAAGGCTTTCAAAACATACATTTTAAGATTATAACATTTTTCAGCTTAATCACTTCCCTTAAGGGGTAAGTATAGAAACACTCACTGCTGAATTCACTGATCAATTTCATTTTGCCTTGACTATAAAGAACAGCTTAAATAGGACAAGCAGCCTTTCACAGGTACAGCACAGAATGTAGGTGCCCTACAAGCATCACATCAGGATATCTGACACCACTGAAAAACTTAAGAATGGCAAAACAGTTTCAAATGCCACTTCTCTACCAATCCATAAAGAGCCCATGAGAGAGGCTGATCCCGGGTCTCTGTGCCTACAGCACAATCCACAAGTTCCCACTAGTGACCACTGCCTCTACCCTGAAGACTAGGAGGTTTGGGAGTTCTTTTATGTTCAGCTCCTGATCTACAACTAAAGACAAACATTTTTATTTTGTGGAAATCTGTCCTACCCAGGACAAACCTCGTATCTGCTAAGTTGAAAAATTCTGGATAGCGTATAAAGCCAGTATCTCAAAGAGACGTGATGATGTTTACTGCAACTTCTTTCCCACAAAGAGAAGACATTTTCGTAAAGTCCTATTCCAAAAGAGCTATCCGACAGAGCTAACTGCCATCTCAGAGGAGCTACCTGGTCTTCTGAGTTACTTTGTAACACAGAGAATATTACCAACGCTATCACTGGCAGATGTTCTCTGTGATGCATTTCCACGTCCAAATTTGTTTGGGATACACAGATAAACTCTTCAACTTGTATATTAATAGAAGATGGCCTTTTCGGTCCATAACAGAGAAAATTAGTAAAAAGAGCATCCAGCTGCCAGTCTCTTGCAGCAACCTCACTAAAAACTGACCCACCTCAGTGGCAGTACACCAATCTTGCATATGCAATATTAAGTAGAAAAGCACTTTTCTAGCAGGAGGACCATGCACATGCCTCACAGGCAGTCAAACTGCTCTCAACTTGAACTTTGGATAAGTCAAGGGATTCAGTATTTCAGAAAACTGAGCCTGTGAAACTCAAAACAGTTACTTCAACGTAGTTAAGGACTATGCATACATTTGGAAGTACAAAAGAATGTGACTGCATCCAAACACACTCCTCATACTTAGCTGAAGTTGACAAATCACCCTCCATAGTGAGGGTGAGAAAAATGAGTGAGAAAAATGAGCCTCAGAAAATGTTAACTGTAGTCACTGACTATTCTAGCAACATGAAACACTCCCTTCCCTAAAAACAAAGATGTAGCAGGAAGTGAGAGCACAACCAGGAGAGCGGGTGTTCCTACTGCTTACTCTCCACTGATCTGCAGTTGTTGGCACTGATTATCTCACTCACAGAATCCATCCACAAAGAAAATGCAGATTCTGCACAGCAGTCAAGTAGCAAGAACTGACCATATACAGGTGAACTGACTAGCACTACCAGGGGATATGGAAAGTAACAGCATGGTATCAGATTCTCACTTCTCCATGCTGTATTAGTCAGTCTCCAAGAGGCTATAAGAACACGTATTAGGAAATGCATGCCATCAAGGTTAGTTCAAAAAGGAACTCATGCTACCCCGCCCCAGCAAGCCCAAAGAACAATTTGAGCCATTCTCACACTTACCGTTGGTACATATTCCGATGGGAATTTATTTGTTGTATAAGAGATTAAGAGACAAGTTTTACCAACAGCACCATCACCCACTACTACACACTTGATCGTCTGCATTGTTGAAATCTACTAGATTATCAACTCCAAAAAGAACCTAGAAGAAAAAAAAAGATACATATATTTAGTTGTTTCCCACATGCACTAGACAGCCATGCACATCACCTTTGACATGAGCCCAAACCACTAATAGCACATGTGAGATATGCACACATGACATTCCTAAATGAGTTGGTAGATCCTTTCCCTCCACCACACACACAAAGCAGCTCACATTCATAAACAGAAGAATTTTTGCCTAGTTACCTAGAGACGGGCAAAAACATCTTTTGGCTTTTCCAGACTCGATTTTTATGCATGGATGTCTAGCCTCACATGCACTGGAAGCTGGAAGCGTAAGCTCTGGTCTTGAGAGCTGCTCAGGAACACACCTGCCTTCCAGAGAGTTCCCGCTGGAGAGCAGCTCAGCATAAGACACACCAGAAGTGTTTATGGAATAGAAATTAACATGTACAGACAGAAATAAACATGATTATTTTCTTCTCTCCCTGTCTTTTTTAGGACCTAAGCATCATTTTACAATTTTCTGGTTAAAGTTGCTAGTTAACACATACCTTTATGCCCACTGTGAAGTGTTTACAGCAGGGCATTCAGATCCCAAGGAGACGGGATTACTCTTCTGACATCACAAAATCTAAATGCACCCAGTTACTCCAACACAGTCTCAGCAAAAACTTTAGTGCATGAACTAAACCAGTATGCATCACCAATATCTCCTCCAAACACTTGCTGGCTATCTCCAGTGTTGCACAGCTGTCTTTCATTTGTGTATTACTTTAATTAGAGGTGTACCAGGCCTCTGGTCATGCCTTCGCATAGATGTGTGAAATCCTGACCCCAGGAAATTAGTGGCAAAGCTCTCACAGACTGTCAGCATAATATCATCCAAAACATTTTTATTTACAGCAACAAAGACTTGCTGCACAGTCTCTGTAAAGTCCTGAGGGGGAGCAGCAGGTGTTGCAAGCAGCAAATTTGCCATCACAAATTTGCCAGCAAAGCTTTATCAAGCAAGGATGTTGCCATGGTTCTCAGGTCTGGGTAACTGCAAGTCAGGGTAACTGTATTAAAAAATCCAAATCAATCCCTCCTGAACTATTCATTTGGTCACTTCCTGAAGATTTCATTTCTTACAGTAATGTAAATAAAGTGCAGTGCAAATCCAAATTTTTGAGGCTTTAGTCACAGCCAGCAACATGATTTGATACTGTGTATCACACCGTCATTCCTGCAAGGAAAGGAAATTGCTAGGGACTCAAAAGAAACATACCACCCCCAGCTCTTCTTTAGATACCAAAGGGTTGCTCTAAGATTTCAAGAAAGACAGCTACCTTCATAATAAACATCCTCAAAAGTTCCTAAGAACAGTACTTTGTAGGGGAATACTAGCTACAACCATTCCCACAAGACCTGGACAAAACCACAAGCAGTTTTAGGAAATGACAGCAAAGATTCTCAGGGCAGGCCATCAGCGAGCACCTGGTACACCAGGCATTCCCATTGCCATCCTCACCTATAATTCTTCTTTCAGCAAGCACAGAGATAATAAATAATGTGTGTAAGCATCAGGTGTTGCCACCAGTGCCCCATTTCAATATCAATAGAATCTATTGATTTATGCAGATCTCAGTTTCCCAGCAGACATCCAGAAGGATGCACTGTGCAGACGTATCAACAGGCCCTTCATTAATACAACAAAAAGCTCTGCAATTTGGCCGTGAAGCAAACACATATTTACTCAGAAGGAAAAAGCAACTATTTACATTTCAGAAGACATGTTCTGTGTTCAGGCCAGTTCAACTGTTTACACCCAAGTACTATTATTCAATATTGCCTCAGTTGCGAAGGGCTCCCACAGTTCTGCCTTGCCATGCTGTCAGCACTGATTGATCCCAGAGAAAGTCCCATTTCAGAAGAAAAAAAAAACAAAAACAACCAGACAGAAAGCAGGCAGTGGAGCAGCACAGCTCAGGCCCATATTAAGAAAGTTTTCGTGCTCAGAGAAAAGGTGCAAAGGCATGAGCCACTCATTAAGGTGATTTCAAAAGGAAAACATGCCAAAACTCAGGCAGAGCAAATGAACCCAAGTGCATTCCAGCTAATCCCAGACGCAGTCAGCAGTATGCCCCACTGATATAGGCAATACAATTCTACCATCTACCTTTCGGTCTGGGCAAAGCCCAAAGCATTCAGCTCTGCCGCTGCTCAATGCGAGTAAGCTGCTGCCTCCAAGAATTCCTCTCAGAGTTAGTAAATGAAGTACAAAACAAATCTCCAGACTGGGTTTCCCAGCCACTTCTCATATGTTTTTCCAACTTCCACTCAAATTTGTTACACTGCCCAGCCAGTCCCTGGAACCCCTGCTCCAGCTGTCCTTGCTCACCCCAGGGCTGGCACAAGTGGAGGAACATCCCTCTCACGTAACAGCACTTACAGTCAAACCTTTAGAGAAGCACTCTTTCCAAGCAGCTCTCTCCCTGGCAGACCAGAACTCCTCCATGCTGTAATCCTCCCTTCCTGTTCTACCTGTAAGTTACAGATTTCACATCTGCTTCAGACCACCTGTCCAGAGCCCAGAAGACACACTAGAGATAAAATCCTGACTCTGAAGCATTCCCTGTGCTCACTGCAACAGACCAATCCATGACTCTCCATAAACTCAGGTTTTGTGTATTACCAAAAAACCTCACATACACTTTTGTAAAAAGAAAAAATATTTAAAGCTCATTACTCCAGAGAGCATCAAGCAAGCCACAGTACTAGAAAGTGTCTCAGGTCACAGAGTGTGCTGCAAGCCTTTGCTTCTTCCCTGTCCTTGGATACACGCAAGTCCCCCCACACTGACACTGGGAGAGAAGATGTTGTTCTCTGGCAAGGGCTCAGGTCAGAGTCTGGGGCTGACACAGCACCAGCTGCACACATCTCATATTATGCCTACCACAGCTCTGACTACGGCAGTGAGCTACCAGCCCTATCCCACACAGTTTCTCTCAAAGAAACACCAGCACTGCAAATCAAGAGCATCTACAGGAGCACTGCTCATTCATTCTCTCTGCACCTCCAATTCCCTCCTGAAGCAAAGCATTGGTGTGGAGCAGATCAACGACTCAAACACACAAGCCACTGCACAGGGTGAGGCAGCACGCACTACTGTTTTCTACCAGGTGACCTGATCCTTTCAGTTTTCTGGCAGTGGGAATAAAACAGAGAGCAAATAACCCAAAGCCTTGCTCTGGAGCCTAAAGTAGAATTTAAATGGCACAACAGGGGTCTGGAAAAGCCCAGGCAGGGCTGTTTTCTTTCTTTTTTGTTTTTTTTCTCCTTTCTAAAACACAAAACTAACAGCATTTACCATGAAACAATTGAACTGGATCACTGGAAATTCTCTATGAAACAAGCAAGTACCACTGCTCTCACACAAGTTGTTCAATTCTGGTTGCCCCCACCACAATTAGACACTTCAAAATTACACATTAAAAGAAACAAAAATTTGGGCACATCCCTTAGGTAAAGAGACCCCCCTACGTTTTTTAAATGGATGCATCACTTTATGCTAAAATACTGAAATAAAATGGTGTAAGTTTTAAATAGATTTAGAGTGTTCAGCACAGGCCTCCAAAGTCTTAGCAGTGGCAAAGTAGCTGGATGAGCTAATGTTTTGCACTTGTAAGAAGTCCACAGATCACAGCTGAAAACAAGCTCATTTCTAAGGAGCTTAGATTCACAATCCTGGGACCTCCTCTTCCATAGGAATAGCTTTAAGGATCATTGACTTGTGGTTTAAAAGTATTTAATCCAATTTGAGATTAACCACAGAATAACTCATCCCCAGAGTGCAACAACAAGGGAAATAGAAACAAAGAAGTTACAGAGGCTTTGGGCTTGTTGCCCCCCAGAAGTCACCACCTACTAAAAGGGAGTCTGTATGTACAACACCCAGCAGAGAGAGCACTCCAAGCAGTTTTAAATATCTGAAAGAATTGAAAGAGACTGGAAAGCACTGAAGTCATCCCAGTCTGAGGGCAGTGAGTGGATTTTGAGCCATGTAATTGTGTGCCATCTGGCCAAGCCCAGACAGAAGAGCTGATAAAGACTAGGAATGCAATGCAGGTCAATATGACTTAGTTCTGTTCAAGGAGCTCTGAAGATTTCTTAAAAACATACATAAAACATATTAAAAAAAAGAAACAGAGCATTGCACTGATTTGATCCCTCAAGCCTCTCTGTAGTGTAATCAAAACCTTCAGCAATTCAGTAAAGTACATGTTAACTAATGATACTTGCAGTATTTGCTGGATTTTAACCTGCTCAGCATGTGACCACAACAGCAGGATTTCAGAGAACTCAACACTGTCCTAGAGAACTGGGATCTGGCATCTGGAAACTGCGGATTACACAGCCATGTAAACTCTGTCAAATTCATAGGCACATTTTACAAAATTTTGCTTTAAAGCTCCATTACACTTTTGTGGAAGACAGCTGATCTGCATTTAGGATTAATTCCAGAAGTGTTAACAGAGACGTGAGCAATACAACAAACAAGGAACAGAAGTCTCCAGGGGGACATTCTGGAGCTTGGTAATCCTTCCTGGAGCAAAAGAAATTCAGGAGGGACGCACTTTGGTCACACAGGCCTGTTCAAGCACCAAGACACTAACCAATCACAAGAGGCTGAAGAAATCCACGGTACCCATGGCAGGTTCCCACTGACTAAGCACTAGCCATACCATCCCAAACACACTTGCATCTTCTGTGCAAGTCTGACTTTCCCATCCTAAAGGCAAGCATATGAAACATGGTGGTACTATGGGAGCACTTGGCTTTCACAAACTTTCTGTAATTTAAGAGTAGCTCCAATCTGTTCCAGTACCTATGTGCACTATTAACTGGAGAATTAAGTGAAATTGTTTGCGGTTTTGTACACAATCAGTGTTCCCTACTAAACTCAGAGTTACAATCCCCACGACTTCACCTTCACTCTTGCTTCACATGTAATCTGAAGAAGAAATCACAAGCCTTCAAGCTTGTTAAAATTTCTCTAACTTTTAAGCTACTGAAGTTTGTTTTCAGGTTAAAATGTGCACATTCTCCCAGCTAAAGGAAACTGTGCTGTCAGATCTGTGTGTCCTGAACTCGCTTCCTGCCTCGGCAGCACCACCACTTCCTCTATCAGGCAGGACTCAAACTGCTGCCATTTCATCACTAGGACTGGCTACCTTGGCTCACTGCAAGGTACTGCCAACTAAGAACCAATTTGTGGTGCTCTCTGGGATACACCATTAGCATAAGAGTTGAACCTTAACCAGTCAATCACAGCTTCCAGATCCTGTTTGGGCACCTGCTCCTCATTCAAAGAAAACAAGCAGCCATTTCTGAAAACTAAGATTTTTTTTTTCCCCATCCAATGTCATTTTACAGTTAACAGTTTATTCATCCAACTCAAAGCACTCAGGAGTCCACAATGACAGGAACAATATTCACAGGATTTTATTCATGATCTCAGGTAACTACTTTTGCCCTTCCATGGTAGTTTCATTTCATATCCTGCAAAACCACACAGTTCTAAATAAAGTCCTCCTTTGTACTTGATAATTTCTTCCCAAATTAATCTATTCTATTTCAAGGTCCTTACCCTCAGCCACCTCTTCTAGCCTTACTACAAACACTTTTGCTTTTCAAAGTGACAAATCTCTCCAGTCACAGGGGCACCAAGGAGACATACTTGGCTGCTACAATCCCAGCAACCTGATTTGCCTCACCAGAGATACCTACCAGCATTACATGGAAGAGGCACTCTACGCCTATATTACAAATACTACATGACAAAGGTCACCACATACAACACACAGTTTCTCTGCAGAGATCCCAAGCCATTAACAAAGGGACCACATGAGCTCAGCTGCCAACCGCACAGGGAGAAGACCTTGGACCTCTTGGTACAGTCACAAAACCTGTGATGTAAAACACAAACAGAAGCCACTCTCTGAGTAAGAGTTAACTACAGAAGGACGAACTGGCACAGAAAGCAAAACTGGTTTTAAGAGTAGTATCACCATGGCCAGAATTCTCCTCTGCACATGTGCAGCAACCATCTACAGACACAATGAAAATCCTCCAACCCAAAGCCCACCTTCCAGCTTGCTAGGAATCATCTTCTTCATGAAGATCTTACCCCAGAACTAACCACATCTGCCACTTCTATGCTAGTAAAGTGGCAAATGACACATAAAAGAATATATTAGGTTCTAAACTACCTGGTGCCCAAGCTCAACCGCCCATCCTGCCCAGAGCTTAGGCTGCTGCAGACACTTAATCTCTATACACAAACACAACTTGTTCCCAGAGGTTCCAAGTCAAGTTTATCACCTGGGTCTTTAGTTTCTTAGGTGAGGCTTAAAGCGGCTGTTGAACTACAAACCAGGACAGTACTGAAGTTCCACTCCTCTAGAACAAGGGAATCATGAAATCCAAGCTAAAGCCTGCAAAAGCACAAGGGACAGACTTGAGACACAATCTTGTACTCCATCAGTTCATCATCTTGGAAAGGCTATCCTGCTTTAAGCACTGTTTTGGGGTTAACTATCACTAACAGATCAGACACAATCCTTTAAATACTACCAGTTCTCCCTGCAGAGTACAAATTCTGTCTCCAAAAACCAGTGTTGCTGTTTACTTTATAAGTGTGTCTAATTACAAGACAGAGGCACAAAAGTTCAGTTGCACTAGAAGCTTTGTCAAGATAAACACAAGAACTCAGGTAAAGACCTGGATCTGCAGTGGGTGGGTTTTTATCTGAAGTTGAAGAGAACGACAGCAGCAGAGCATACTGCTGGGC